AATTATTTTCATCGATATCGAATTTTGACAAAGACAAAAAGCGACAAACAAATGCTTATGTCAGTGCTATGCCATATTTGGGCATAATTTCAAATTCTTTACCGTGCAAGTATACCAATTACTTATTGCTAACTATTTAGTTATTGCTCGTTTTAATTTGTTATAGCAAAATTTAAACATCAAATTGGGATACTTTTAAATAATCCTGCAGGTATATTATATATTATTTATAAATCACTTATTTTCTTGAATGAAAATTTTAAAAAAAGTTGATGAACACTTTGAAAAAATTATCCAACTTTATTATTATTAATGCAAAGTGATAAATAATAATAGTTAATGATTGATGCAATAAATAAATCAAGTCACTAAATTATTTCTTTATCAGTTACCTTTGAACTGTTAAACTTTTGTATAAGAAAATTTTTTTGATACATTGCTTGATTAAACCAAAAAATGCTTACGAAAAAAAGTTTGTCAAAGTTCAAATAACTAAACTTTGTTTCTCAGCAAAAAAATTTAGCTTTTATCGTTTTTCAATTTGCTGAAAGGACTTTTTACTTGTTGAATTTCTAAAAAAAATTTTTCAAATAAAACTTTTGCATTTGTTAGTGAAAATTTTTATTTATTCTTTAAAAATTTTACCAAAATCATTCATAATAATTGTCTTTACAACATTTGTCTATACTAAAATATTTACAATTTTTCAATTTTTATTACACATTTCAAAATATGGCATTGCATAATTGGAGATTGAAGTAAATTTCTTCATAAAATACTGCTAAATACAATAACGTAAAAAAATATACCATTTTCTAATACTTTTTTACTTCTATGCATTACTACACTTAGAAGTAGTACCTGTGAACTGCACGTATTGATAATAAAAGTTTGACTAAAGAAACGAGAAATAAGACATTTAAAGAAATCCTGTAGTATCTTCGATATATAATGCCTTTTAACTTGTAAAGTTATGATAAAAATTAACCGATAAAAATTATCGTAAATGTAAAAGTTCAAACTATATACCACATTTTATTTATTTATTCAAGATTAAAATGATTATTTTTTCAATAATCATTATTTTTGATTAAAAATGATTAATGATTGTAATCAAGATTAAAATGATTATTTTTGTAACAAACAATGAAACACTCTATCAAACTTAGCTGTCTCAATCAATTACTTTGTGTGAAATTGCATTGAAATTCAAAAATAATAATATGCAAGAAAAGGGCGTAATTTAGAAAAAATATCAAAAACAAAAAATCAACAATGAGAATTTTTATAAAAATAAATACTAAACACTTTTGAAAAAAATATTTGTGCAGTAATTCAAAAACGTTACTTCATTGTTCATGAAGATAATGCGCTTAGAAAAGAAGCGTAAATTAAAATTTAAGTCAAATTTACTCATTGCGTAAACATTGTTAAATTTGCGTAAAAAGCAAAACAAAATGAAGAAAGTAGTCTGCAATCAAAAGAATATATATAGTCTTCAAAATCAATCTTTTTGAATAAATTTTGAAGCAAAAAACAGGAAAATAAAAACAAATTTATTGCAATACAAATTGAACAATAATTACAAATAAAAATGAAAGCAAATTCATTACCTTTTGACATACTTAAAAGCATTCATAAAATACTTAAAAATAATAAAGTAATAGTAACAGTAATAGTAATAGTAATAGTAATAGTAATAGTAATAGTAATAGTAATATTTACAGTAAGGAAATACAATATTAGTAGCGGTTTTTTTGTGAGGAAATGTAAAAAGTATACTATACGAGAGGAAATGTTACAAAAGCATTGCGGCAATTACAATCAAATATTTTATTAATGAAAAAATAATAAAGTTTTTTAGATGCACAGCAGGTAGAGCAAATATCTTACTTTTACTTCAATTCACTTCCTTGCCTTACTTTCATTAGTAAAAGAACGATAAATGAAAAGATTGCTTGTCATCCATTTTATACTTTCATCTTTGTAAACAAATACACAAATCACATGCAAGTAATAAATGTAAAAACAAACTAAAATATACAAATACGCTTGGCAAACATTCTTTGTATTATTTTTTATTACATACATACAACACAATCGTTCTTAGTTCATTTAAATATGCAAATTTCAAGTAATTAATCAAGTATGTATTTTTAGTTTATGAAACAATTTTTAAACTTTTTTTAATTAACTTATGAATCAATCTATGGTAATTATAAAAATAATTAGACAGATTAGAGTTAAAAAGTTTGACTTAAAGTTTTTCATTTTGAAATTTTATTAAATTTAATTAACACTTATATCATTTTCTCATTTTTTGCTTTTTCTGCCTTGTTCATTTTTACCGAAATACATTTATCTTGATTAAAACGATTAAACCAAGTTACATCTTTATTGTATTGTGATGAACTTTTCTAAAATGAATAAAAAAAATCAAGTATTTGGCTAGAAACTAATTTTACAACGTTTCTTTCATAATTTTTGGCTTCTTTTCTTAGTCAAAACATTAGAGCAAATATCTTAAAAGTAAGATATTTGCTCTACCTGCTGTGCATCTAAAAAACTTTATTATTTTTTCATTAATAAAATATTTGATTGTAATTCAAGGAATATTTGAAAACAAGAATTAATTTGCTATATTAATATTTTTTTGGCAACAATTTAAAATAAAAATTATACATCCTGAAAAAATTACTATTATACATGCTTATGTATTTGATTTGAGGTCATTGATGCCATTTACTACGAATGACCTAAAAGACTAGCAGGATATTACTTTGCCTACAAAAGTCTTTAATTGAGCTGTTGTAAATATTTGCCACTAATATGGTATAAGCTTATAACAAAGAGATTTATGAGAATAAGATTAATTTCCTTTTTTTGTTTACTTTTTTCTTTTGCTGACTTAAGTTACTTCGTGCGGTTTATTACCTCATTTATCTCTAAAGCACTGTTTTTGCATAATTAAGTGATTTACTCTTCTTTATTGCTTGCTATTACTACTCGTTTTAACTTTGAAGATAAAAAATAAAAAATTGATGCCTGAAAAAGACATGAATTACTCATTTATAACTTCAAATTAAATTTGCATAAATCATTTTGGTGAAGAGTATTTCCGTGTTACTGTTGAATAACTTTAAGTCAAGTTTATCGATCTAAATAAAATATTCCTTGAAGATGTCAGTTATGATTATAATAAAATAAGTAAGTAATTCCAAGTGCGATTGTAAATGTATCAAAAAATTGCAAAGCTCATTAGTGCGCATTTTATATTGAAGACATTTTTGCTTGCATAAAAATGTAATCTTAAAGACAAGTCATTAAATTAATTTTATAAAAATGGTTTTAAAAGAGTAAAAAATTTAAGTGAGTGAAGAAGATAAATAATGAATTGAAAACAAAAAGTGAAAAGCAATGAATTAAACAATAAAAAATAGCTTAAAAGGTGAAGAAGAACAAGTAGTCACGGAAGTATTTGGGCAACTATTAAAGCTTGTCGTTCATTAAAATATCCTGAAGTCATTTGATTGTTACTGACTGAATTGAAAATCCGATTTGCAAATACAGCTTTGCAGCACATTATTCTTATTTGCAGCTTGCTGTTTAAGCAGTAATTTCGGCTAACCTTTTAGATGCTACTGACTTATTTACTCAGCTCATCTCAGCCTGATTTCTTTTAATAATTAATGATCTGAATATCATTCATTGCCAACAAAATTGATTCTACATTCTATATTTTAGCAATTGTTTTAGTTAGACACGCTATTCTAACAAGTCAATTGTTAAAATACTTGTAATGTCTTATTATGCAATAATAGTAGTAATAAATGTAGTATAATAATTGATCATAATTAATTCATTACAACATATTAAAGCGAATAACAAGCAAATTTAGCATAAAATTTATTATAGATACTATTGATGAAAATTAAATGAAATGCTTAAGTAATAGCGGTATTCTGCTTTTAATAATCATTGAAATGGGTAATTTACATGACTGAGAGGTTACTACTACCCTCATGAATCTTTCAGCTGTTCTTTCCTTCTTCTCAAAGCGCGAAATTAAGAACTGCCTGAATGAATTATGCTCTTTTACCGCTTTACCCGCAAAACCTTTTGCGCCAACCTTTTTAGCAGCATTAGCATGCGTAGCTCTAGCATTAGTTAAACAATATTTAATTCAAGAAGCTTTTGTCTTGAGGGAAATACTCAATCTTGGCCTCATTACAGTCTATAGCAAAATTGACACTTTAATTCATTACAATGCGATTAAAAATTTAAATCACACTTCCACTGAATGACTCATCAACCAAGTTATCATTATTATTATCACTATTGTTAGTTTATTATTACTAATGCTAATTAGAATATAGTTTATCACATTAGTACCAAGCATTATGATTTATTACCACTCAGAATCCTTATGTCAATAAATTTTTTAATCAACAAAATTCAGAAAAAACATTTTTGAGAGTTAACAAAAAATGGTATGCATATTATGAACTTTTATAAACAGTGTAATTACAATGTGATTCTATCATTATAGAGTTGCCCACGTAGGGTATATTGTTCGTTATTCATTATCCCACTTAATAAATTAAACTGAGAGCTAAACATGCTTATCAAGAAAAGTAGATTATTATATGAAAAAAATTTATGCATTGTCTCGAATTTTCATCTCAAGCTTCACATAGTTTTCTTGCCCACTGCTTACCACGCAATACATTATTTATACCTAAACTTTTTGCATAAAAATGTTGCATAATGTAAGAATTGAAAAATGTTTAATTTTTATGCAAAGTAGTTTTTGCTAATAAATTCAATTTAAATTTGAAAAATGTCATTGTCATCAAGTTTCTGAGATGGTTGCGCAACTACCACAAATAGGAAAAACTAAAACTGTGGTTTTAGCTGCTACTTTCGTGGCTTGTGCTTTCGCTTACTATTTCTTTCTTGCTAGAGTTTGTTTTCGATCAATTATTCCCTTTTGACCTTAAAATTATTAGGTGACGTTATTTCAAGAAATCCAATCAAATCAATTATTTGCCAAAGTACAGTTAAGCTATTAAATTTTACAATATCGTAATGGGCAAAAATTTTTCACTAAGCAAAACAAAACCTTTTTCACAAAGTTGTTAAACTTTAAACCTTAAATTTTATCACTTTAAATTACTTCAGACTTCTTGTTTTTTTATTTTTTCAAAAGTAAAAGTTTTAGGATCCAAAAAAGTCGAAAAAGCAGAAGCCTCCAGTTACAAACAAGAAGCAAGTATAAAATTAAACTGACTTTAACTCCATTAAAATTTACTTTATTAAAATTCGCTGAAAAAAATATTATTATTCAAATGAAATCTGATAGCTACCTATACCATTTATAAATATAATAGACCTAATATTTTAGCTAGATTTTAGAATTCCGTAAACTTTTCCATAATTTAGATGAGATTTAAAAATATATATCATACAAATATAGTTTTATCCATTTTTTACAAACTAATAGAATAAAAAACACGCTCTAAATTTCGAAGCACACTAATAAATTCACTAAAAATCCTTTCTATCAAAATTTTTTCAAGTTCAGTTTTAAATTTTTATATTTGCTAATAATTATTGAAAATGATACTTATTTGAAACAAAAAATTCAGCAAACAAATTAAATTTTTTAAGTGAAAAATTGATCAAACAATGCATATTTGTAATAAATCAGGGTCAGGAAGAAAAAACAGATTCTACAAGAAAATCAAGTAGCACTTCAACTGCACCTGAGATCAAGACTTCATCTAGCGATCAGAAAACATCCAAATCTGATAAAATTGATTATGTCATAATATCAAATGTAGGGACTGTTTCACCTAAATGCGTTCCTGATTCAGTGGCTTATGATTTGGATAAAACACACGCAAATCTTCAAAATAGAACACGCTTGGATAAATCACGATTTGCTGAAGCTGTATCAACAACATTGGAACTCACACAACGAGATGATGAATTGGAGAGAGAACCTGTGGTATTTGTTATTGTTCATTCCTGATTAAATGAAAATTGAAAAATTTCAAAAGTTTGAAATGATAATTTTAAGTTAAAAAAATCCATAACATATGCAGTTCTTGTACTTTATTCTAGCTTAAATAGAGCATGAAAAAGTATAAGCCAAATTTATGCAAATATTCAAAGTTGATGCCATTCAAAAAAGATATACACAACTGTTGTTATATCACTGACCGAATGATCATTTTCGAAGTACACTGTTCAAAATTTCATTAATTTTTCACTAGCTATATTGTATTTGCAAAGATGTGAAGTAATTTAGATTTTTTAAAAGTATGAATATTTGTAGAAAACTAAAATTGCATGAGATATGTTTTGCAGCAGAAGGAAAAAAATGAATCAAAAAGTGCTAAGCGTTCAGTTGGAAAGGTTTCTTGTTTTGAGAATAATTATTAATGCTTAATTTTAAAAATTGTATATAGCTATTTTTGAAATTCTCTTCTTCTCTCTTTACAGTATTCATTTTAAAATTTGATTAGTTTAAAATGCACAAAAATATTATTCACTTTGGGTTAAAAAGCTTTATTTCATTTTAAAACTCATACTTTCTATTATCTAAAAAGAATCAATCTAGATCAGGCATAAATTAAAATTCTTTGCTTCATGACTACAAAATTATAAGTTTAGGGGTCAGTTCAGTCTATCCAGGCAAAATTAAACAACATAACATTTTTTTATTCATAGCAATCTTATCCATAACTCCTTGAATTTTAATAATTTTTCAATCTTTAATAATTTAATTTTTAAGCAAATATACGAAACACGTACTTACGTGATGTTCCCTAACGTTAAGGAAGATTGCTTATTTTACTTATTTTGAGCACTTTAATTTAGAATTTAGAAGTTTCATAACAAATAACAATAGCAGTATAACTATATTACTATATAATAGCGTCGATAATGCTAATATTTTCTTCCATCTTATAATTTGTGCAAATCCTTTCTAACTTTCACAAGCAAAAAACAAATTTTCCCTATGTTAAAAAGGCTAATTCTATACTTGACATTCATTTTTTAAAATTTATAGTAAGTAATCTCTTAATGCAGTATTATCTTTTTATAGACTGCTCAAGAACAGAAATTAGATCCATCTCACTCTGAGAAGGTAATTTTTTCAGACTACTTTGCAAAGTTGACATTTACTTCAATTTCTTGGCTAAGAATTTTATTTTTAGACTACACACAAGCAAGAACCGAATCTTCCTAACCCTGAAAAGGCTAGTTCAACCTTTCGACTGCTTCATTAAATGCTAATTTTTCATGTGTATTTTTATTTTGATTATTCAACAACACAAATCGTATCAACTGTACACTTTTTTTGAAATGTTTGTGATTAAATTTAAAAAAAAAAAAGGTTTGCGATTTTTATTCATATGCCAATTTTTTGAGTAAAAATTTTGTTTTTGACCATTAACGAATTTAAAAAAAAAAAGGCTCTTTATTGATACAAAGGTCAGTTGCAAAATGTTTTCTTCAGATTTCACAAAATGAAGCATCTGACCGATTATTACTGGATAATAAAGTAAAGTTTTGTATCAAGTACTACTATTATAGTTATGTAGTATTTTCAGAATTTATTTTTAGGCAACTTACACGAAAAAATCAAATCTATTCACTATTGAAAAGCCACATTGCTTGTTTAATTTTTCACTTTTCCAAATTTATATCCACTGATTGCAGCATAACTTTTAGACTGGGAAAAGCAGAAATCACATTATTATTTGATTGAAAAAACTAATTTCTTGTCTAACTTTTTAGTTTTAGTAAATTTTTGTCTTTTCCTTAAATTTACTGATTTTTTACTTATACATACAGTAAGAATGACCTTTATTGATTTAGCCAAAATTTTTTAATAATTTATTTTATGCTAGAGTATGAAAATAACTGGTTTTTAATTATTCTATAAGAAATGTAAACTGTAATGCTTTATTAACAACATAGTGATGCATAATGATAGATAAAAGCAACACTGTTATATACAAACTATCAGCATAACAATTAATAAATAATAATAATAATATTAATAATAATAATAGTTATTATTAATGATAAATAATCATAATTCAGTTACTGTGTATTTTAAGATACATGAAACATTTTGGCGCATTATAATATTTTTGCTTTTTAGATTTAATAAAATTCTCAAATCAGTTTTACCATTTTTAGCTTATGCATCAACAAATAAATGAACAACCATTTGTTGATAACATAATTATTATGCATTAGCTTTTTTTATCACTTAACTTTAATTTATATATAATTTAGAGCTTTTTTTAATACGTTTTTTCATGTAATATGCATTATTATATTAAATTATTAAGAGCTGTCAGTTGACTAGGTTACTTACACTTATTCTGCTTTTCTAATAAATGATAATTTTTAGAATTCCATCAGCTCTTTTATTACTGTTTCAAACTAGCCTTACTTAATTTGTATTAATTGCAGATGAAAACCGATATTTTTTTTCATATCATAAAGTTAATAATATTTCATTGCATAAAATGTAAATATTATTTGAAATTATTTTTCTTTTTGCAAATTATAAAGCAAGATTTGTCATTATTTTTTAATTTTTTCATTTTTAAACAAAAATTATGATTCTGGTATTTGAGAAAAAAAAAGTAAGTGGTGCTTGTGGCAGCAGTTCAACATGTAGAAATAGAATAATTTTAAATTATAATTAATTATCAATTTCATGTTAAAAAACAGTGATAAAAACAATAACTATATAAATTTTGTTAAGGAACTGAAAACAGATTCTACTGCAAAAACAACATCATCTTCATCATCTACTAACAAATCAAATGATCAAACAAACCCAAAAAAACAGAAAGATAGCAAAAAAAGGACAAAAAAGGTTGGTTGCCTTTGTTATTGTAGCGATAAATTTTGTTAATAACTTTACAGTATGCTTAATTTTTGTAATAATCACAAGAAAATATATCTTATATCTTTGCTTCTATCTTTATTAAAAATTTATTTTAATTAATTTATATGCGTTCTTTGAATAAATTTATATAATTTTGCAAAATTTGTGATGAATGAAACGTCTCTTCATGTGTAGCATTGTCATCAGCACATGTACATGCCTATATGGTTTAGAAAACAATTAAAGAATTTGCTAAATATATTACAAATTTTTCAATATACTAACAAATGTATTAAATTGCGATGAGATAAAATTAAATCTTTTACTGTACAATTAATAATAGAACAGAAATAATAATCAAGACATTTGAACTGTGTAACTTAAATTTTGATGTTTTTCGGTATGTGACTGCAATAATTGAAAAAATTAATGCATAAAACTGTTGTAGCAAAAAAATCTGCATCTGGTACTGAATAATTTCAACTAAAATTTCAGGCAAAAAGTTGAAGATATTGAAGTATCAAAAAATTAAAAGTACTTCACACTGAAGAATAATCATACTTAACTTTTGACATCCTTTACTAACCCAAATTGGAATTATTACTACTTTGTAACACAATGTATTTATGCAAATATTCATAATTCTTTTTCAATAAAACTAAATTTTTGAAGAAGTAAATTTTTTGAAATATTTTCACTAAAAAATGTTAACAATTTTTATTAAGAAAAATTTTTGTCAACATTTCACGCAGCAATAATTATCAAAATTACATTGCTTCATTTCAAATTACTTACTTTATTCAGTTTCGTCTGAGTGATAATATTAAAAACGTTTTTTATCTGAAAAAAAAATTAGAAAAAAGTTTTAAAAAGGTAATAAAATTTGAAATTTCAGTGCTATATGATTAGGTTAATAATTTTCATCAAACAATATTTTGAATTTGTGTTGATTACATATTTGTTTATTAATGATCAAATTTATTGAAAAAAATCGGTTTTTACACTTTGAAAATGTGAATAGTAAACACAAAGTTTTGCGGCAATAATCTAAATTATTATAGTTCTGTGCTTTTATAAAATGTCATATCTCAGATCATATTGACTGTCGCAATGAATTAAAAATTATGATATAGTTAGAACTTTATGTAGCCCACAATGCTGAAATAAAACCCTATAAATCGAATAAAGATATTTTGAAAAATTGAGGCATAAAACTTTGATTCAGTCCTGAAATATATAGTGTAATAATGATGAATTAAGTACTACAAATAGTATTTAAGAACTTTCGATAAAAATGTTAAAATGAAATATTGTTTGGTCAAAAATGCTTAATGCAACAAATGCAAGCCATTTTGAATTAAATTATTGCATTTTTTATAGGATAACATCAAATTGTATATATATGTTGCAAGACTGAAAGTTAAAAAAATATGCAAAAGTTTCCAAATCACTAAATTCTTCACTCTGCAAGTGCAAAATTTACAAATCTTTTGTACAAACATCAACATCCTAATTGATCATTATTATTTTGATAGATCTTTTGTTCAGTGCATATACAAATAGATGTAAAGGATAAAGGTAAAGATTGACTATATTAAAAATTCGAATTTTTCAGCGAGCAGTCATATATAAAAATCACTGCATTTACTACGTATTGCTAAACAAAATGTTAAAGAGCCAAAAAAGCTTTTCGTTCTTTATTAAGTGTTAGTAATAAACAAAATATACCATTAAAAGTTTAAGAATTGTACAAAATAACTGAATATGGTGAAATGATCAACTTTGGGGTACAGTACTGCAGTAAAGTATGAAAACAAACTGAAGTGAAAAGCTACAATTTTACTGCAAATTTCCAACCTGTAGCACAATTCTGAATATTCTTGAATAAACTTGTCAAATTATTCTTACAGACAAATAAAGATCAATTTCTGTCCATTACAGCAATGCATAGTAATACAAAATGTAACTAGTTTATCGTGATATCTACTTTTGGAAGTAAAAAAAAGCATCAAAAATTACTGGCGATTCTGAAAACATTTTATACAAATTTTTAGCAAGTTTTCATGCAAACTACTGGTTGCTTAACAATTATTTCATTATAAAACTCATCAGTA